CTAAAAAGCTGAGGAACGTGGCTTTGGCTTTCAATGGCTTTAGAAAAAAAAAAAGCCTAGATGCAATCCTGGATAATTTGGGGTATTTGAGAGGGCGCAAAAAAGTGGCAAATTTGCAATGTGCCTACATTGAGCAAACAATGATTTTGCCATCTTTGTACAAAATATATTTCTGGGCACAGGAATGGGCTGTTCTAAAAAGACAAATGCACCAACAAAGCCAAAGTCCTTCATGTTTCACCAGCAGAAATCAGCGAGGATCATCCATGGCAAGTTTTGCAGCCCCACAGCTTGAGGGGCATCTTCCAAATGGCAACTCCTCTCCTTCTGTGGGAAACTCCGTGGCTGTATTTAAGGGAAAGACCACTCAGAGGTGTGTGCTTACGTGTGTGTGTGTACATGTGTATGTATACAATATATACGTGCAAATATTCAGGAGGAAAAATAAATGCTGGCTACAAGGTGGGACAAGATGAAACAGGGGCCGGCCCGGGGGACATCCTACACCCGCAAAGGGGTCTCTGGGAGAGGAGCCCAGGGAGCCCCTCCGCCCGGAGGAGCGGTGGTGTGAGTGCTCGTGGAGGCAGGGGAAGGGGGTCTCCCCTGCAGCCCTCCCCGCCCCCCTTCTCATGGCACCCTGAGGAGAAGGACCTGCGGGTGTTGGTTGATGAGAAGCTCAACACGAGCCGGCAATGTGCACTCGCAGCCCAGAAGGCCACCCGCATCCTGGGCTACACCAGAAGCAGTGTGGCCAGCAGGGCGAGGGAGGGGACTCTGCCCCTCTACTCTGCTCTGGTGAGACCCCACCTGCAGTGCTGCGTCCAGCTCTGCGGCCCCCAACATAAGAAGGACATGGACCTGTTGGAGCGGGTCCAGAGAAGGGCCACAAGGATGATCCGAGGGCTGGAGAACCTCTGCTATGAGGACAGGCTGAGAGATCTGGGGCTGTTCAGCCTGGAGAAGAGAAGGCTCAGGGGAGACCTTATTGTGGCCTTCCAGTACCTAAAGGGAGCCTACAGGGAAGATGGGGAGGGTCTCTTTATTAGGGAGTGTAGTGATAGGACGAACAATAATGGTTTTAAACTGGAAGAGGGTAGATTTAGATTAGATATTAGGAAGAAATTTCTTACTGTGAGGGTGGTGAGGCACTGGCCCAGGTTGCCCAGAGAAGCTGTGGCTGCCCCATCCCTGGAGGTGTTCAAGGCCAGGTTGGACGGGGCTTGGAGCAACCTGGGCTGGTGGGAGGTGTCCCTGTCCATGGCAGGGGGGTTGGAACGAGATAATCTTCAAGGTCCCTTCCAACCCAAACCATCCTATGATTCTATGTTTAAGTGTTTTCCAGGGACATCCCGAAGCTCCTGGTGAGATTCAGGACGTGTCATGGGCAGGTGAAGCACGTGGGCTGTGTTTTCCTCAAGGGACATCACGGCCGGTTTGTCATCAGGGGCGTCGCGGGAGGAAAAAACGACGGAAAAAGAAGAAGTCACTGCGTTTCCTCCCGCCGCGGGGCGGGGGAGCGGGGAGGGTGTGTGTCACAGCCCGGCCGGCAGGGGGCG